AAATTTTTTCTCGAAGGCAATAATCAACATGCAGCCTCAAAAGACAGACAGATATTCCTCTCTCTTGCCTTTTCCCAAACACTACATTTGGATATTATTATTTAACCACTAATTAATACATCTATCTAGAAAGTATCATCCTGCTAAAAGGAAAATACAAGGGTCAGCTAAGTATCAGCAGATCTGAAATGGTAGTGTTCATGGTCCAGCATTAATGGAGTCTAGAAAAATGCTCACTTTTGGTTGGGCATGGTGGCTAACACCTGTAATCCCAGCACTTTTGGGAGGCTGAGGCAGGTGGATCATTTGAGATCAGGACTTCAAGCCCAGCCTGGCCAACATGGTGAAACTCCGTCTTTACTGAAAATACAAAAAAATCAGCTGGGTGTGGTGGTGCACGCCTGTAATCCCAGCTACTCAGGAGGTTCAGGTAGGAGAATCACTTGAACCCGTGAAGTAGAAGTTGCAGTGAGCGGATATCATGCCAGCACTGAGCCAAGATCACACCACTGCATTCTGGACTGCGGACGACAGAGCTAGACTCCATCTCAAACAAACAAACAAACAAAACATCGCAAAATGCTGACTTTTAAATTATATACTATATTCAACAGAAAGAAAATAGATTTTTTTCTGTCCTTTTTTCTGTTATTTTGAGAGATAAAGTATTTATTAACAAAGAGTAAAGAAAAATAAAAACATTAAATGGAACAAGGACATTATCCTTCACCTGAGCTTAAATGCTACTCTTACTTGAAGTAAAAAGTAGGACAAAGATTACCTGTTCATGAAATATTCTAATAATGATCATCAGTTTGAAACACTCTAAAAAACAAATTCAAATTTTTATAATATCTAGATTGAGCCATGCAAAAAAGAAATACCAGTTTTTTTAAATTGCCTTCATATATATTAAGCAAAATTCTAAAACTTACTAGAAAGTCTGTTGCATAATGAACAGTGCTCTGGACTTCTCAAAAAGACATTCACAAAATATGTACATAAATCTTTGAAGTCAAAATAGGCATTAATTCTGCATTTGACATCTTCTTGCATTCCTCTTCCTTTCCTTTTTCAAAAGAATTTCCCATTTATTACCTAACTTGAGCTTCACAGTATTACAGAGATAACACTATAATTATCCCTTTTTTAAAAGATACAAAAGCTAGGACATGTTCTTCTACTCCTTAATGTAAATGAGTAGTCATAAGATATAATTTACTAAGAAATGTCAGAAATAATTTGTGATTAAATGTTCACTTATTATTGGGTAAAACTTCAAAGATCTGTATCACTGTACTAGACCAATATGAAGCAAAGTATTATGAGTGTAGACTGCCAATCCAGACTTTCCGGATCTGCATTCCAGCTCTGCCAAGTACTATTTATGTAACTTTGAGCCCACTGGTTAACCTCTCTGCCTTACCTTCCTAATCTGTAGGAAAATAGGAATAATAATAGTATCTAACTAATAGGGTAGCTGTGTGAAAGGATTATTTATGACACCTATATTATACAGCACTTACCTCATACTGTTGTTACATGGATTAAATGTGTTAATATGAATTAAGAGCTCAGCACAGCGACAAGCACAGGTGGCACTCAACCAATGTTGCTGTTGTTTTCTGTTTATCTTCACAATCTGTGGGTTCTATGAATGTGGGTGAAGCATCTTTAAGCTTCAGTTTCCACATCTTTAAAATTGGGATAATATTAGTACTGTGCACTAGGGTCATGGGAAGGATTGAGTGCTATGCTCCACATAAAAGCTCTCAGTGTAGTGTCTTATACAATAAAAGTATTCAATAAATATTTTTAAAAACATATTATTAATAAAATAAAATTTTGTTTGCATGAAAGCACTCAATATTATTTTTTTGGTAATAATTACAAAAATTATCAATGTACACACAAATACAAATATGTCCAGAAAAGATTCTTACACATAACATTTATTTTTAATTATGTATTATCAAGCCTGCGAACCTCCATTCCTCTTACTGACATTGAATATGTACATTTCTTTCAAAGAATTAGGAGAGAAGGCAGTAATAACCAGCATTCACTGCATATTTACAATATGCCAGGTACTCTTCTAAGTGCTTTACTATGTTAACATATTCAGTCCTCATATTCAGCATGTTAACATACTCAATCCTATCCGATGATAGCTCTATTACGTCTCTATTTTACATCTGAGCAAAGTTGAAAGAGTTCCATTTAGAATTTGCTGTATTTGAAACAGATACCAATTAGAATCTTCTATAAAAAACAGCATATACTCAATCAATAGACATAAACTTACTAAATAAAACAATTTTTGCCAAAACTTTGGGGAGTATATATGTATTTGCTCATATTGTATTCTAAAACTACAGTGTCTAACCCAAAAGCCACTAGCATATACTGGGCATTTGAAATGTGGCTAGCAAAAACTGAGATGTACTGTAAGTGTAAAATACACATCATATTTTGAACTTCATATGAAAAAAGTCCTACTAATAAATTCTGTATTGATTACATATTAAAATAATATTTGGATATACTGGATAAAATAATGTATATTATTAAAATACATTTTACCTATTTCTTTTTACTTTTTTAAAATGAGGCTTCTAGAAAATTTCAAATAACAAATGTGGCCAATACTTGTGTATTTATTAGACGGCTGGTTTAGACTCGGGGGTAAGAAAGAATAGTAACAGAGAATTATTATCAAAGTTCTTTTTTCCAATCAGTATAAGAGTAAAGTCCTTCAAAGCACAAGTACAGAATGGAAGATATCTTTCTCTCTCTAACTCTCTTGTGTGTGTATGTGTGTATAATACTGCATATACACACATTCAGCTCAAGGAACCAGAGAAACACACTATACTAATATTTCACTATACTCAACATAGGAGAATGAAGAAAAGCAAATCTTAGGGGAAACAGCTACAAGAAAAAAAAAATATTTTTAAACTGAAATCATAAAAATTCCTGGAGTCCAAAAAGATCTAACCACTTAGTTTTAGGTGTATAATAAATACCAAGTTTATGTGTTAAGTAAAATTTAAATTTCCTAATGGCCTAACTGGCAGACTATTAAAATACCTGATGTTTGATATCTGTTATCTTCTGGAAAATAATCCAGTTTGTGGATACCTGTCACATTGTTTTGAGCAATTTTGTACATCAAATGTAGGCCTTTAACTGATTCTTCTAAACGAATGCTAGTCCACTATATAGAAGAAAATTACTCCATAAAGTTTACATCAGATATCTGGAAAAGTCACATTTATAGTCATGGCTACTATCAGCTGTCAAGCCAAAGATTATTGAAGAAAACCAAGAAATTTTAATATATGCTGTTTAATTTATCATCGAAGTGACATACTGTAGGATTAAAAACATTGAAATAGTTAAGGAAAATTCTACACTGCAAAAGGTCCTTTTTTCTGGTTTTATTTTTAATTGCAACTATGATTTGAGAAACTGTGAGAAAGCAAATTAATAGAAATCATAAAAATAGAATTAACAAATAAAATACATACTAAGATTTATTTTTTCCCCTTCAGATTATTTAAAAAGTTAATTTTTTAAAATGGTAATATACTGGTATTTTGGTTTATTCTGGAAACTGGCTAATCCATCTATTCCAGGGTTTGTCAACCTTGACCAATCTGTTTGCATTTGGGGCTAGATAATTCTTAGTTATGCAAGGACTATTCTGTACATTGTGGGATTTTTAGCAGCATCTCTGGCATTACCCAACAGATGACAATGGCACTCTACCCTTAACCTTTTTGACAAGCAAAAACACTTAAACATTGTCAAATGTCATAGAATGGCAGATGGGGGAGTACTAAAGAGCTGCCCACTAGAAAACCACTGTCTATTCCCTAACCAAAATACCTTCCTTTGATGAAAATTACTTCAGCACTTCCTAACCTACTATTACATAGTTTTAGGGGATTTTCCTAGGGGATCCAGATAGCTTCAGCAGAAAAATCAGTAAACCTACTGAAACCACATGCAGAATAGCCTGGTTATATTTTCTGGAAAAAAATGTTCAATAGCTTTTGCCAGATCCTGAAAGGGTTATCCCCAAAATAGCAGTTTTAAAAGGGTTAAGAATCAGTGCTTCAACTAAAATATTCACAGTGCCTTGAAGCTGTCTTTCCAAGAATATAAAGATTGAAAATATTATTTTATACACAGCAAATCCTTTATTTTCACATTGGTTATCAGGGCATGATTGCTTTCACTACACTTATAAACCATTCATATAACAAACAGTATATGCTCAGTATTATGTTAAACTACATAAGCTAAGTAAAAAGCAGCTAAATATGTAAAATGTTTGGATAACTATAATTCCACAACCTACATAAACATTGTTTTTTAAACAAACTATCCCCAAGTATCCTATTCTTCCTATAATGCAGCTTAAAGTTTACAGGACCACTAAGCTTTTTTTGGATTATACAAATGTTATATACAACTTGAAGAGCTATTATATTTCATAAATGGTTTGGGGGATAATAAACACTTATGTAATCAATAAATATATGAGGAGTGGCTAGAGAACCAGAACACTGCTACAAGATTACCAAATAGATTAAAGCTAGAATAAGTGCAATAAGCAAAATGATGCTTAAAAATATGTGATAAACCTTTACAAATGTATTAGAAAATAATTTTGAGTCCACAAATGAACATATCACCCCAAATAATCAATACCATAATATCCAGCCAAAAGCAAAACAACTAAGACACAGAATGTGCCTAGCATATAAAAGTGATTTCTTAAACAAAATTTTTTAGTTTGTTATATACTGACAATTAACTGAATAATATTACATAATAAAATTATGTAATATTATATAATGGTAAATCATACAAAAAAAATCTAAACATATAGTATCAGACTTTCTAGAAGCGGAAAAATATAATTGCAACTCAAAATGATGCAAATCACCTAGGGGGTGAAAAAGATATTACATTATTTACATATTTACCTGCACAGCAAGAGAAGCTGCATTGTCAGAAAGTAAAATTTGCTCCCCTGTGGAAATACAATGAAGCATAACTGTTAACCAAGTAGAATATAATATTTTTATTTTTTAAAAGTATTTCTATTTTTTTCAAAGGTATTGCCTACCACTAAAGCAATTCTAAAGTTTTATATCAATATTACATAATTATAATTTTGATTAAATTATGACAAATAAACTATGACAGTTTCCTCTAAAACTATTTGATCACTCATTTTATCAGCAATGTAATTAAAATTGTTCACTTAAAGTCAAATTCATTTTTCAAGTTTTCAAGAAATGCTCCTCTTCTTTTCGTTAAAATTAAGTAAAATCTGCTGAACCCTTTCCAGTTAAAAGTAAAAGCATTCACAATAATATAAAAGCGGCTTGCAGTTAATATTGCACAGTGTGTCTAGATCTGTCACACAAAAGAAAGATGACAAGTTCGCTGCAATAAAAATTCCATGCTTAGAAGACTAGGGCTGCTGCCTATTAGTCTTCATTACTTTGCAGTCTTCTGACAACTGTAGCAGGCTGCTAAGCCCCAAATGGGGTCCATAATGTGATCTGATGATATATGAAGAGCTGCTAAAGGGAGCCTGAACCATCCTAGCCTATACATTTTAACAGTTCCTTTTTACTGAGAGCCCACTTTACCACAAGACTTCAAAAATCTGCTGTCTCAGCTATTGGTGCAGTAAATCTGCCAACTGCTCCTGCAACCACATCATTTTACACCGCCTACAGCAGCCAATATAATGAGTCGATAATAAACTAAGGACCTTATAGGCCATGAATAGTTGGTTTACACTGGCAGATACAAGTTTAGGTAAAACCTCCTAGACAAATTATACAAGGAAACCTCCTAGACAAATTATACAAGGAAATCCCTTCTTTACATTTTATATTCTCTTTATAGTAAATTATATTACTGAGGATTTTTTTCGTAATAAGTATAGTTTGATACAAAGTCATTTTTAATTGTAAACAAAAACCTACCTTTCAATTGCTGATACAATGTAGCATTTTCAGGCCAAGGTTCTGCAGCTGTGAGAACAAGGCAGTGATAATTAGGCACATAGAGCAAAAACATATCAATAACAAATCAAATTAATAAGCATGTACATTTACCTAGAGCATTTAAAGTCAATTTCTAAGGTTGCCTTATACATGACTAACCACACTATCTTAGATTCTACAGTAACCTGTATAAGCAGGTTAGATAACTTGTTTTAAAAACATGTTTGGTTTATTGTTTGGTGATTGTTTTTCATAGGGAGGAGGGGAAGATAGCATGCCAATCAAAAATGAGAATAAAAAAATAAATTCCTTTAGCTTCTTTCAAACAAAGACATATCCTAAATATTACTCATACATATAAAATAATACTGATGCTTAATTCGTTACAAAAAATATAGTGAAATAATATTTTAAATGTTTTACAGTAAACTTTTTAGCAAAGTAAAATTTCAAGCATACATTGAATGAAAGAATCAAATATATCTTTATCAAGCTGTCCATCTTTCCCCACAATCTGGCAGTATTTAAAAATACAGAGGAATCCTGTTGTATTCCAGAAGATTTCATTGCCTTGACCCTACCAACACCACCCCACAAAAACAATTAGAGCAAAGTTGCATGATGAAGCATTAAGTACCTACAAAGTGAAATAAAGCCAGTAAAGCTAATTTTAGGTCTGAAATGAAACTTGACCTTGACCCTTAATCTCTCATCTAGAGAAGACTGCAGCTACAAAGAGAATATTACCAACCTACCAGTGTTTGGGAAAAGCACTAGATTTGAATTTTGTCTAATCAACTGCAATTAAGAAGCAATGGCTTCACTAACAGAATACACAGGATATCAGGATCTCACTTGTTGGATTCTTCTTTGTAAAAGCCATAAAACATCAGAATCACCAATTTTAATACAGTAACTACATTTGCCCTCAGTAATTAAAGATATGAGATTTGATAATAATTGGCATTTTTCTAATTGTCTCTATACTAATTTAGTATCTGTGACATAGCAACAAATAACTTTAATATATAATTCTGGCTGATTTTTAAAAAGAAATTTATACATGTGAAGAATTTTTTTCTTAAGAATGATCATTTAAAATGTCCTAAAGCAGTCCCTAGAATGGGAAAAATCAACTCCTTGTTTTTACGCATGCTTTAGAATAAAAACAAAAACACAGTAGTAGTATATAATAAGAAATGTTAACATTAAGGTTTAGTTTGGTTTTGGCTACAAAAATTAAACGAATATTTAGAGATAATGCCATGAAAACATCAAGTAAATAATTAACTATACATAGTTTTGTATGCTGTTACCCACAATATATGTAAGGGCTACTCAATTTCAACGTGCATAACAAAACAGCAATAAAACAAAGTATTCTGCTGTCAACTTTTTAACAAAGTAAATTTCAGTAAGAACCCAATTAACTTGTATAATAGTTTTTTAAATTAAAGACAAAGAAACAAAAACAAGCTGACATCAGCAAATTACTCAAAAAATAACCTTTTAGGATAAATTGTATGGTCAGCACACTTATATTGCTTACATCTATACTAAAAACAATACAATGAGATTTGTCTGTTATAAAATTCTAAATCACCAAAAATTCAACTATATGTATTACATTAACTAGCAATAAAGCATCAGAATAAAATTTATAAAAATTTCTAAGAATATTAAAAATAAGTTCCTTGGAAGCACAGATGTGTCATGTGCATCTGTGTATCCCACCCTTTACTATGCCTTACATACAGTTGGTGTTAACTGTCTGTAGAAAGAAGATATTTGATTAAACCTACCATCTAATTCCCTAAACATGCTGGCTAATTAAAGTTTTACTCAACTTAATATTATCATCTATGTTAAGGTAACAGAACATTCTAATTTAATATTGTGGTAATTTTAACTCTTGGTTAGCTATTTTCTGCACATACTAGACATGCATTATAAATTTTAAAAACAATTAAGAATTAGGTTGGTGTAAAACTAATTGCAATTTTGGCCCCAAAACTGTGTTAAACTTGTACTACTGTATTAAAATTGATGATTCTGATGTTCTATGGCTTTTACAAAGAAGAATCCAACAAATGACATACCAAAACCGCAATTATTTTTGCACCAACCTTTACATACACTAGCATTAATCATATGATGAACATAATTTAAGTGTTATCTGATAAATCAGAAGCTACTTCACTACTCTGTAACATAACAGAGTTCTTATATGAACAGAAATTTATGTGGTCAATAATTTCAGTTAAAAGTTAATCATCAGCTGGGTGCAGTGGCTCACACCTGTAATCCCAGCACTTTGGGAGGCCGAAGCGGGTAGATCACAAGGTCAGGAGTTCAAGATCAGCCTCGCCAAGATGGTGAAACCCCATCTCCACTAAAAATACAAAAATTAGCTAGGTGTGGTGGCAGGTGCCTGTAATCCCAGCTGCTTGGAGGCTGAGGCACAGAATTACTTGAACCCGGGAGGTGGAGGTTGCAGTGAGCTGAGATCACACCGTTGCACTCCAGCCTGGGTAACAGCGCAAGACTCCATCACAAAAAAAAAAAAAAAAAAAAAAAAAAAACTTAATTCATCATCACCACCATGGATTCTCTAGATCTCATCCAAAAGACAAATATGAAAGTAGTAAGTTTGCAACATATGACTTGACTGCAAATAAGACTAAAAGAGCTAACTACAAATACTAAAAGCTCTGTTATTAAGAATCTAAAGCTGGAAATAGATGGAAAAGGTGAATATTTTACTCAATCCAAGGCATAAACTCTGTTCCAACTCAGAAATCATTATTGAAAATAAATTCTCAGAAAGTAACTCTACCAAAACATCCAGTGTTTTCATCACAAATAGAACTTACAATTTAAAAGAGAAGGAAATTAGACTGATACAAACCTATATTACCATGTTATCTTAGCAGCTAGGAATTGCAGTTTATAATGCAGTAGTCAGGAAATGGTAGAGTATACAAAGAATGACCAGCTGCCTATGTCTCCCATGAGTAGCTCACAGAATATAAGTATCACTGACTTAAGTGCATTACCTATATGATTCTGTTAGGATGTTGGAGTTGTAAAGAATTACCTGAAGACAGGTAATTTATAAAGAAAAGACATTTATTTTGGCTCATGGTTCTGCAGACTGTACAAGAAGTACAGTGCCAGCATCTGCTTCTGTTGAGAGCTTCAGGAAGCTTATAATCATGGAAGAAGGCAAAGGGGGAGCAGGTGTCACACACAGCAAGAGCAGGAGCAGGAGCCAAGGAGGAGAGGTGCCACTATCTTTTAAAAAACAATGAGATCTCATGTGAACTCAGAGAGAGAACTCACTATCAAGCACAGCACTGAGCCATTCATGAGGGATCCACCCCCATGACCCAAACACTTCCACCAAGACCCACCTCTGACAATGGGGATTAAATTTCAACAGGAGATTTGCGGGGCACAAACATCCAAACTATATCGGTGACAGAGCTCATATAATTACATCTAAAGCATGATGAAAGAAAAAAAGCTCCAGTTTGTTATTCGATAGAGTGCCAAAAGTGAAAAACCTAAACTGGGCAATGGATCTACAAATAAACCATGCAGGTATCATTCTAGGAAATGAACTCTGTAACTGTCTTCATATGTAAATCTATGAATCATGAAAATTATTATTCATACCTAACAGAAAGAAAGCTATTTATTGGTTTGGGAATACCTATTACGTAAAAGGCAAAGTCCAAAAAGGCAACTTCTTCCCTACGCTTCTCTGTCCCAAGGTCAAAGTCAGTAATCACCCACCTTGCTCCTGAGCATGTGTAAAAGAGAAGATTAAGGATTTAAAATAATGGCACTGACAATACACATCCTAAAAATCTGTAGCATTTAAAAAGAAAAAAATCATTTTAAAACAATAATAAAACATTTTTATCTTTTTCCACTTTTTCTTCAGTCAACCTGAAATGTTTTAGATCACAAACTACTGCAATAGTAAATAAAATGTCATGACTCGCCTATCTACTTTCAGTTTCTATTACCAAACGCACTCCCTGATGTGAAGTGCCATTTAAACACACGTAAAGGAAGGGCCAGCCTTAGAATAAACATAGAAGGTGAGACTGAAAGTTTCTAAAAAAGGGGTTGGTAAGAAATGGAAGCTGAGGAAAAAAGCTGTCCAATGCTGTCAGAGTGCAAGTTATTGGTATTCTCAGCACACCAAAAGTAAACTTATGCTTAAGACACATCAACAGTTATGTGTGGTTCTTGGAATAAAGACCAGAATCCTCAACGTGGCCTACAGGGCTCTACTTGGCCTTACAAGTTACCTTCTCTACCAGCCTACCTCATCACACACATCCCCTACCTTGAGTCTCTGCACTCCAGCCTCACTGGCCTTCATCCAGTTTCTGAATGCACGTGCTGTTTCTTCTGCCTAGAACAATTTTACCAATTTTACCCTCCTATGGTATTGTCACATCTCAGCTCAAAAATCACTTCCTCAGGTACAGCCAGATTCATAAGCGTGTAACCTGTGCAGCTGCATGGGGCCTGCACTTGGAAGGGCCCCATGCTCAGTTTAATGTTCTGCTGTCTCAGTCTTTAAAGCCAATAATTTTTTATTATTTTCATTTTGGACTGTGCCCCACAAATTATGTAGCCAGTCCTAACTTCAGGGAAGTCTTCACTGACCTCCTTGAATAGTTCAACCACTCCTTTGACAAGCTCTTATAGCATGCACTCCCCCGTCTGTATTTTTACATTTAACTAACTATTTGATTGTTTATCTCCTCCTCGAGAAAATAAGCACCATGAATCCAGCATTCATGTCTGATTTTTGCTTACCATTTCTTCCCTAGAACCTAGCACATAGCAGGTAATCAGTAAATGTTGGCTGAGCAAACATTTGGTTTTATTATTAGCACTATCATCATCATTATTACTCTGTACTATTCAGGCTAAGAATGTAGCAGGGAAGATAAGAAAAATTCATAGCAAAACACAAAAAATAAAATAATCTTTACCCAAGCAAC